CAGTTTATTTGTGAAAAAAGTTCAAAAATAGACCATTTAATGACTAATAGGCGAGTTTCAGCTGACGTCATTGTTATTAAAAGACCATGTTGCATGCTGGGAAATATTTTGGTCAGAGGCAAGAAACACGGTAGCGTCAAACACAGTGCGTAACTTCGCGTATTTCTCCCCGATAATGGTAAATTCCTGCTGCATTATCGGATGCACAAATAGAAGCACGGAAGAAGGAAAATGTCTTTTTCGTATTCTGAGTGAAAAGAACCACTAACGGTGAATTAAACGACTTTCAAACATTTGCAGAGCAAATGTAGAAGATCCTAACAAACCGTTGACTCCAACAAGTTCAACAACACATCGAGACTCTTGGAGGTTTTCATCTTTTCTGCTGTGAATGGCCCAGGAGTTTCCACCAAGTCATTGTGGATATCGCCCAAGTGAATATTTGTCCAGGTAGTTGGTGATTCCGACCAGAAATTTGGTTTGGTTCACCTTTTGTCGGGGTTGAAAAGGGTGATTTGGCTCCATTGATGCTTATGACCAATTTCTGGTCAAATGGTCTTGGGTCCTCTGCCGTTAGTGTGGATAAATAACCGGGATCAATACCCTTTACGTGTTTTCTCGCTCCGTCCGTCATGTTGAATTAGTGTTTCTTGCCACCGACCAAAATAATTCCCAGCATGCAACGCGCGCTTTTGTCAACAATGAAACTCGCCTATAGCCCAGAAAATAGGGTAAATGATTTTGTGGCAATACTACAGTTTTGTTGCTTGTGTAAAGGAAGGAAACATGTTTATGTAACACACTTGACATATTCACTGTTGTGAGGATTAAAATAGAAGTATTTCATTGTCACTTTTTTTTCTTCTTCACAGTTGTGATTTAGTTGCTGTGATCATTTAGAGCCTTTAAACTGCGCACGTCTCTTTGTACAAGCACATGTGGAGCTGTAGAAGCTGTGGATCAATCAACCAGTGCAACAGTGTGATGTGTTCTTCTACTGTAGTCAGACACGTGCACTAAAATAAAACCACTGTTTTATGTTTATTCATCTTCAATAAATGGAAGATAAATGCACTTTTTTTTTTTTTTTTTTTTTTTACTAAAGCACATCAAATCGATTTGAAACACATTGGTGAGCAGGATACGTCTCAACAGCCACATGCGTCAAATGCAGTGAGCACGAAAAGGACGAGAAGAAATGTCTCAAACCCAAACAGCCGACACAAACCCAAAGCGACAGAACTAGCCTCGCGCCCGGGAGAACCCGAAATCCCGAAACCGAACCAGCAGCAGCACGAGACACAATATTCCAATGTAAGTCAGAGACTAAAATAACTTTTAAGGACAATTTTGTTACAGAGACTTAATAATCCATTTTATTTAATGCTTTGGTTGTGTTTGGTTCAACAGTGGTTTATTCAAGTGTATTTTTGTGATCAAGTCCTCCCTGTGAGCCAGACACATTAGACTAGTCCTATGTTAAGTTTGTTTTATTTAGGCCTGTTGTTTTTGTTTGTCTTACAGTTCCTGTGTTAAATGTTCTTTAGAAAGTAAAGTTTATTGATCATTGAGAGGATGTATTTACATTTTTATTCCATGGTCATTATATTAGTTGAAATTGGTCTCAAAATGTCAATATTATCGTTTATCGCAATAAATTCTTGGTCAATTCATCGTCCAGCAAAATTTGTTATCGTTACAGGCCTAATGAAAA